TGACGACTTGAAGAGGAACTACGTGGCATTCATCAGGATTGGAGGAAGACTCGATAGCAACGTGCAATATGCAGATGACACAACCTTGCTTGCCGAAAGCGAGGAGGACTTGAAGCCCTTATTGATGACAATCAAAGACTACAGCGTTCAGTATGGATTACATCTTAACATAAATAAAATGAAACTCCTCACAAATGGGCTAATAAGCAACATCATGATAAATGGAGAAAATACTGAAGTTGTCAAGGATTTTATTTTACTTGGATCCGCAATCAATGCCCATGGAAGCAGCATTCAAGAAATCAAACAACGTATTGCATTGGGCAAATCTGCTGCAAAAGACCTCTTTAAAGTGTCAAAAAGCAAAGATGTTACCTTGAGGACTAAGGAGCTTCTGACCCAAGCCATGAATTTTCAATAGCTTCATATGCATGCGATAGCTGGACAATGAATAAGGAACACTGAAGAACTGATGCATTTAAATTATGGTGTTGGCGAAGAATATTGAATATACCATGGACTGCCAGAGGAATGAGCAAATTTGTCTTGGTGAAGTATATTCATAATGCTCCTTAGAAGTGAGGATGGCAAGACTTCGTCTGGCATACTTTAGACATGTTATCAGGAAGGACCAGTCCCTGGAGAAGGATATCATGCTTGCTAAAGTAGAGAGTCAGTGAAAATGAGGAAGACCCTCAATAAGATAGGTTTACACAGTGGCTGCAACAATGAGCTCAAACATGCATGGTAAGGATTTTGAGGATGGCGCAGGACCAGGCAGTATTTCGTTCTTTTGTACATAGGGTTGCTATGAGGTGGCACCAACTCAAAAGCTCCCAACACAAGACCATCACTACTTCAGTACATGTTCTGCACTGAAGTGTCTCTTACTAACTTTCAACTTTCTCTTTAGTCTGGAAACCACGCCTGCAACTTAATTTATTTTATTTCACCAATATAACCATTGACTACCCTCAGGCAGGTAGCTTCTCAAGAAGGCTGTGCTCAGTCCCCCTCTCTGAACTTATCATATCTTTCTATTCCCCCACTTCTGTATACAGTTTCATGCATTCTTTACGATTCAGTGTAAGCCGTATCTCCTTCATAGATCTTCTACCAGTGCCCTCTCTGAAACACCTATTGTATCGAAACACCAAAGACAAGTTCTCAATTTTTTTTGGAGTTCTACCATATATACTGCACTCCTCAACCAGGATAAAACTTTCTCAGCATTCCTGTAATTGAATTCCAATTTGACATTTTGGCTTCCTTTCCCATTAAGTTTCTCCACACACTCTGGAGTTTAACCACACCAGAAACTGTTCCTCCAGAACATAACATTTTCCTTGTCTGTTGTTTGATTTATGCCATTTCCCTCAGAATACGGGAGTGTTAAGCTAATGCTTCTTAAGTCCTTACTATGAACTTACTGTGCTAAATATTTTACCTGAAATTTGTCATTTAGCCCCACAACAACACTATGAACCAATACTGTTAATTTCGCATGAGGAAACTTAGGCATGATGATGTTTAATAACATCTCCTAAGTGGCAAAACCATTTCTCTAAAGCATTGTACAAGCAGTCCCAGCAGCACAGTGGTTACATGCTCAGCAGCTAACCAAAAGATCATCAGTTTGAACCCACGAGCTGCTCCAAGGGAGACAGGTGTGGCAGTCTGCTTCTCTAAAGATCTATAGCCTTAGAAACCCTATGGGACAATTCTACTCTGTCCTATAAGGTCACTATGAGTCGAAATTTGACAAACAGCAGTGGGTTGGGTTTGTTTAAAGCATTGTGCATTCTCCCTTTGAGGGTTACTTGAAAGCCAGTAAAGTGCTGTAAATTGTGATGTAAATAATCCACATTTTGATGAATATGACTATGATTTTAATTTTAAATCTTTGGAATGTTCAAGCCTTTCTTCTTGTTGTATCAAAAAGCGTACTCATCATTCAAGGATCAATTGATAGGTGACTTTCTCAGTCTTTCAAGTAAGAGTCAAGGCTCCGTGGTCTGCATCCACAGCAGCCTCCACTGTCACCTGCTGTTCAATGCAATATATCTGATCAGCAGGACCTGCATCACTGGGAGCTTGCTAGAAGTGCAGACTCTGACTATACTCTGTACCTACTGAATCAGAGTCTGCACTTTAACAAGATCCCTAATGGTAATTCATATGTGTTGTAAAATTTGAGAAACAATGCACTAGGTACTTATTGCTTTCTGCATTTTGTTGTTCACAGCAATTATCTTTCCTGCCTGCCTGACATTTCCTAAAGAGAAGGACCTGTATGTTATTTATACACCAGCTACTCACTTATGGACTTGGTTAGGTTCCAAAGACCAGGTCTTTATGTGAAAATTGGCATGATGCAAAAATGGAGGATGACCACATCAGATCACAAAATAGAGGATGACCACATCATTACATAACTGCCAAATTACATCATTACATAACTATCAGGCCACTGAGAATCATGGCCCAGCCAACTTGACACATAACCTTAACCATCACAGCCAGCATTACTGTCACCTTGCAACTTAGTGTTCGTTACTGCCAGATGTACATCATTAATGCACAATATAATTGGATAGTAGATTTTTTACTATTGTCGTGAATGTGAAATGTCAGATAATGAGATAGTTGATAAGTGAGGAGTAGGTGTATTTGTCTTACCCAGAATGAGTAGCATAATACTTCCCATATGGTTGGCACTCAGCACCTCTTTATTAAGTTTATTTATTGAACTGAGAGCAAATCCCATGGTACTTACACCTTTATGTCTCCCATAACTCATAGAAACAATGTTCTTGTCTAGACTCTAAGTTCTTGGGAGGTTGTTATTGTATCTACCTAGTTCACATAGTTCCTACCTGGTACATGAAACTTACATTAATGATTAACGATGGAGTGAGACATTCTGTAAATTAATTGAGACTATTGATAAATATATTGAAAGGAGGTTTTTTCTTAGAAATTTTCATTTTAGGTTTATTTCTCTAACAAATATGTACAAGTACATATTACGTGCCAGGAAGTGGTCTAAGTTCTTTAAAAATATTAACTTATTTACATTCTGAACTAACATTGCTTAGGCAAGTATAAATCTAAGTTAAATTAATAAAAGTTAATTTGAGATGCCTCATTCAATTCTAATACATGGGATAGCCCATCTATTTCAGGTTATTTTGTTGCAGATGACTAATTAATATGCCATAATTTATATAATAAAACTTGGCAGTATTTTAGTACTTTTTTTATTTTGTGGTTGTGTTGTTGAGAATATACACAACAAAAACATACACCAATTCAAGTTTCTACATGTACAATTCATTGCCATTGATTACCTCTTTGAGTTATGCAGCCATTCTCACCCTCCTTTTTCTGAATTGTTCCTCCCCTGTTAAAATAAACTGATTGCCCCATAAGATTCCTGTCTAATCTTTCAAGATGCTGTTGTCAGTTTGATCGCATATAGATAGATCTTGAAAGACCACAATGCTCAAAGCAGACATTCTTTACTAGTTAAGCTAAACTATTGTTTGGTTTTGAAAAGACTTCAGAGGATATTTTTGGTTTAAGGTTTAAAGATTATCTTAAGGCAATGGTTTTGGGGGTTCATCCAGTTTCTATGGCTCCAGAAAGACTGATTTCTGTGAGAATTTGAAATTCCATTCTGATTAGGATTTCCCCCCTTTTGATCAGGATTCTGCGATAGAATCTTTGATCAAAATGTTCAGTAACAGAAGCCAGGCACCATCTAGTTCTTCTGGTCTCATGGTAAAGGAGGCAATTGTCAGTGGAGGCAATTAGCCACACATTCCATATCCTCCCCCTTGTTGCTGACTCTTCCTCTTCGGTTGCTCCAGGCAAATAGAGACCAAATGTTGTACGTCGGATGGCTACTTGCAAGCTTTTAAGACCCCAGGCACTTCACAAAGACCTAGGAGGTAGAACAGAATGTTGGAAAGAATGTGGGGAAATTAGAACACTTACCCATTGCTTGTGGGAATGCAAAATGGCACAGCCATTGTGGGAAACATCCTGACTGTTCCTCAAAAAACTAAAAATAGAACTACCATATGACCCAGCAATTCCACTCCTAAGTATATACCCTGAAGACTTGAAAACAAAGTCTCTGGTACTTGTACACCAATGTTCATAGTAGCACTATTCACAATAGCCAAAAGGTGGGAACAACCTAAATGCCCATCAAGGGACGAGTGGATAAGCAAAATGTGATACATACATGCAATGGAATACTACTCAGCCAGTAAGAGAAATGAAGCCTTGATACATGCTACAGTATGGATGGAGCTTGAAGACCTTTTGATGAGTGAGATAAGTCAATCACAAAGAGACAAATATTGTATTACCTCACTTATATAAGAAGAAGAGAACAGACAAATGTATAGAGATCAATGTTTATTAGTGGTTACCAGCGGCAGGAGGGAGGAGGGGGTGGGAGGGTTATTGCGTATGGGGTACCGAGTTTTGGTTTATGGTGATGGTAAAATCACATTGATTAAGGGTAGGGTTGCACAGCTGATTAGTGTAATTGCTGTTAGTAAGTTGTAACCCTACAAAAAGTTGAATTGGCAAAAGTTGTGTGATAGATATATTTTCAACAACTACAAAACAAAAAAGAAAGTAGCTGCTAAGGTTGGTTATGTATAACCGAACACCTCATGGGATTTGGTTCCTTGATTTGGAGGTTTAGGGTCATGGTTTTATGGGAAATCCCAGTTAATTGTCCTAATAACATGTTTAGAGCTTTTGTTCTACCTCCTACTATTTTAGTCATTTTTAAAGATTTTTTCTTTCATGATTTCAAAACCCTTCCAAATTCTTTGGAACTAAATATTGCAGTAAATATTTCAGTGGAAAACCACGTTCCATTTCAGAACAGAACAAACTGTGTCAGATTTCTAAGTTATAATGCATATTACAAGTTTTATGCATTGCTCATGTATGTACATATGATTTTATATTCAAAGGGGGGTAAGATTCCAATCCGGTGGACATCACCAGAAGCTATAGCCTACCGCAAATTCACGTCAGCTAGCGACGTATGGAGTTACGGAATTGTTCTCTGGGAGGTGATGTCCTATGGAGAGAGACCATACTGGGAGATGTCCAATCAGGATGTAAGTATTTGTCATCGATGAGTTATGGGTTCAGATTAAATGATCAAGCTGTGCAAGGAAGTGGAGCATAATGAAACCAGGTGGCTCCTAGTTTGTGACATTGAAATAGAATACTTAAAAAAGATGAAACTGTTTCCAAGTCTTGCAAGGATAGTAATTAAATTGCTTTTATAGCTTTAAATTTTTCCCTCAAACAGGGGTTTAGAAATCTAGCAAAATGAAAACATTTGTAATAAGAATGCAATAAAATAAGTGACCAAGAAGATAACCAACATATATCAGGGAGTGTTTGAAGGATTTTTGCTGCAAAATTATATCTGTATAATATTAGCAAGATACACATGTCTGCCATCCTTTGTAGATTTAATGAATGCATCTATGCCAATATTTTGTTTACTTAAATATAGTATTTCCCAAAGACAGAAAAAAGCAATCAATCTCTACCAGGTTGTTTCTCTTTAAGTACTAAACTTGTACATGAAGTTAGTTATACAAACTGATGTCTTTGGATTGAGGACTACAATCTTTAACTTTCTATTTTAACTGTGATACGATTTTTAAAGAGGATTTCTTAGTTTTAGATCATGTTTTGGTAATGCTTAGTAAAGGAACTCTATTATCATATGGAATCAGCGCTCAAAGATTTGTCTTTATGCTTAGCCAGAAACACTGAGCATGATCCCAAAGATACATAAAAGAGGAAAGCTGAATGCTTGCAGCCATTTCCTACCCACCACATATAAAACTGCTTTAAGTTTATTGGGATATAAACTTGTCTCTGTTCTTCATTAAATAACTCATATTAATCATACTGGGAAAATCAGATTCACTTTTCAACCTGTCTATATTCCAACGTCTGTCTATATCAGAGTACCTCAAAGTGTAGTCCCTGGATCAGCAGCTGTAGCATGGCCTGGGAATTTGTTTTGAATGCAAATTCTCAGGCTCTGTTCCAGACTTATGGACTTAGAAACTTTGGGAATGAGGATGTCGTGATCAGTATCTTAACAAGACTTCCAGATGATTCGGATGCATATAAAAGTTTTAGAAACACTGCTTTACATGGTTTAAAAATACTAATGAAATAACAGTTACTTATTAGTATAGCACTTAGGATTTTACCAAAGGAAGTTGCTATGATTCAGAAGGTACCATTTGAAATATGCTATAACTAAAACTTGTATACTCATTTTCTCTGCATTCAATAAAGCATGGTTTCCATAGAGATCTGTATAACCAGATAATGATTTCTTTAGAACTCACTGAATTTCCTATATCGTTGAACATTTCTTTTTATTTTAATCTGTAAAAGATTAAACAAACTTGTCTTTCCTAAATTCATTTTCTTTCTCCTGATCTTTATAGAGCATTTTTGAGCATGAACACCTTCTTACTCATCTGATAAGCTGTTATCCTTTTAGGCAATTTAAATGAGAACTTGATGTTATTGAAACTTTAAAACATTCAGTGTGCCCAGCCTGTGGAAAAGTAAAATAAGCCCCAACTCTTAAATTCCCAGAAACTTTGCTTCTCACACAGGTAATTAAAGCTGTGGATGAGGGCTACCGACTGCCACCCCCCATGGACTGCCCAGCTGCCTTGTATCAGCTGATGCTGGACTGCTGGCAGAAAGACAGAAACAACAGACCCAAGTTTGAGCAGATTGTCAGCATCCTGGACAAGCTTATCCGGAACCCCAGCAGTCTGAAGATCATCACCAGTGCGGCAGCAAGGTGACACATTAGATTTTGCATCTTGCACTCGCTCTGAAGTTAATGTATTCGCTTTCTGCAAGGCGTTAGTTTTTGTTCTCCCACTCCTCCGGTGGCATTCTTTGAAATTTGTATTCCTCAAGACAGGAGAGATGTATTTTTTGTTCATTTGTTTGTTTTTCCCCTTCCAGGAGGAATTCTCATGCAATTTAATGGTAGTGATACAATGCTGAGTTGTTTTTTTTTAACACCCATCCTGACTAGAGGTGACTCTACATTCATGCTTATATAAGTCTCTAGTAAATACGAACCATGGCCATGTAGTGCTGATTTCTTTTCACTCTCCATTATTTAAAAGAAAAAAAAAAAAGGAATTCTGGGAGTGGTGGGGATTCCAGTAAAGTCCTGATTTATTCTTCATTTAAAATAAAGCTTCAAATAACAATAGCAACCCTTCCAAAACATTGTGTTTACTAGCAGAATGCAATTTTCACCATTTAATTAAACAAATATTTGTTTAACCCATGTTGTGTGTCAATTTCTCTCGTAGACATTTTGGAGGGTAAAATGAGGTTTGTGTCCCAACACTAACACAAATGTCAGCACATAATAACTATACTGCAGTGCAGAATGCATGGTGCCTATTACCTTTTATGTACCTTCCTCCCAGTTGAGAATCTCTGAGTTCTTTCAGCGGATTTGAAGAATGTTCGTTACAGTGCACCTACAAAGTTCAATGGGAGAAATAGGGAAGGAGAGATTAATTTTGGCAGAGGCCCTATGAGAAGTGTTAATGCATTTGGAGTTTCTCAGAGCAGCTTAAGGCACAACTCTCTTGTTTGATGATTTACATGCTCATCGTGCATATAATACAAAAACAGTTTTATTAGATTTTGATGATATATGTTATGCTATGAGCTTTTTAATTTTTGATCAATTTTATCATATGAGCTAGTACACATTTCAATCTTGTAAAAACACTCCTCCTAACAACTAGATAGAGAAGGATTTCAGATCTATTTGAAACTTTTAGCTTTGTGACCACTCACTCAGTGGCTTGAGGATTAGTGAGTCGGTGATAACCTGATAGGTGCAGTAGAGTTTTCTCAGGTACAGTGAATTGTGAGCTGTTTCACACTTCTATGAGTCTTTGCATAAACAGTTGCTTCTGGAAATCTATTTTTCATTTTGCTATCTCTAGTTTCCATTCATACTATATTTCCCTGTTGTTTTCCTTGCTAGAAAGCATAGTAACTAAAGCTAACATTTCAATGCATGAGAAATTCCTTGCTTTTCACCTCACATTGTCTGTTGTTTAAACATCAGTATGTGAATGTGTGTGTGTGTGTGTGTGTGTGTGTGTGTGTGTGTGTGAGAGAACAAGAGGAGGGGAGGGAGAGAGGATATATATGTATTCTTAAATAATTTAAGAATTTATTAAATAAAGAATTTAATTCATTATGCTTTAGAATCAGATTTAAAACAGAATTTTGTAGCTTCATTATAACTTTCCCAAAACTTATTTAGCACATGTACATTTCTTAGAATTATAAGCAGAGAAAAAAATTTGTATCTGTAAGATTTATGTTAATTATAACTTATCATTATTATTATTATATCTTTAGCTATAAATGATTGTATAGTTCACTGCTGTTTTCTGTTCTGTGATTTTAGGATATGTGTTTATTAATTTTCAGTTCTTAATATGTATAGATATTTTACTAAAGTTTTGGAAAATTGACCTATTTAGAAGCTATATTCAACAAGAAATAACTAGAAATATAACCTCAAAATGCAAAGATTTACTGCTATACATATAACATATTTTAAAATATTATCCTTTAAGTGCATATGTTTGTGTGTGTGGGTATATGTGTGTGTGTAAAATGCATGTTGGAAATAATCTCATTTGTTGAATGCCACAGAGGACAGATGTATTTTTGGTCATGATGAGGCTGTACATTTATAAATTAAGAAAAGTATCAGAACTTTATTTAAAGAACTGCACTTAGTGTGCACATAAATCCACAATATAAAGTGATGTGTAAAGGCTACATAATGATAATTTAATGTGACACATGTGAAAAAAGTATTGTATAATGCGTGATTGGAAGGAGTTATCTTTGTTTTACACATTTGTTCTTTTTACCAATAATCATCAATAATTATGACTTTGGTAGAGTATTTGCTAATTAATGCCCCTTAGAGTACAGTATATGATCTTTGATCTTAAAAGGAATGATTACATTAAGCATACATGATTCAGTTTTTATATTATATTTGAATGAGAAAAAGAAGGATAACCTGAACCAAAGTTTTTTTAAAATCAGTATGTGAGAAATATAGATTATTTAGACAGAACACAATACTGGGAAGCCAGCACAACTTGTAAAAGGCAAGGTCATGGAAGCTCCATAGACACATCCAAACTCCCTGAGGGATCGAATTGCTGGGCTGAGGGCTGTGGGGACCATGGTTTCAGGGAACATCTAGCTCAACTGACATAACATAGTTTATAAAGAAAATGTTCTGCATTCTACTTTGGTGAGTAGCGTCTGGGGTCTTAAAAGCCTGTGAGCAGCCATCTAAGACACTCTACCAGTCTCACCCCTTCGGGAGCAAGAGTGAATGAAGAAAACTAAAGACACAAAGGAAAGATTAGTCCAAAGGACAACCTCCACCAGACTGAGTCCAGTACAACTAGTTGGTGCCTGGCTACCACCATGACTGCTCTGACAGGGATCACAATAGAGGGTCCCAGACAGAGCTGGAGAAAAATGTAGAACAAAATTCTAACTCACAAAAAAAGACTAGACTTACTAGCCTGACAGAGACTGGAGAAATCACAAAAGTATGGTCCCTGGACAGCCTTTTAGCTCAGTAATGAAGTCACTCCTGAGATTTACCCTTTAGCCAAAGATTAGACAGGGCCATAAAACAAAATGAGACTAAAGGGACAGCCCAGGGACAAGGACTGGAAGGCAGGAGGGGACAAGAAAGCTGGTAATAGGGAACCTAAAGTCAAGAAGGGAGAGTGTTGACATGTTGTGGGGTTGTTAACCAATGTCATAATATGTGTACTGTTTAATGAGAAGCTAGTTTGTTTGGTAAACCATCATCTAAAGTAAAATTAAAAAAACAGAAATAATTTTTAGGAGTCACTAAGTTTGAACTTAGTGATAGATCCTCAAATAAACCTACCCATAACTTATCCCACAAGCGTGAATCTCTGTCCTAAACTTCACAGAGAGAGACGACGTAGCCTCCTTTGGAAATCCACCTGACAGTTTAACAATCAACAATATTATAAACTTGTCCTTCTCTGGGCCATACGGTCCTCATTTTGTACCCTAAAGACATTTCTTTTGATCTTTGCTCTATAGTAGTCATAGCAAAGAAAAACATCTTTTCAACTCTTTCCATATCATAAAAAATACACTCAAACCAGAACTCATGTAATATGATCTAGGGATATTTAACGCCAATTTTATGGGAGAAAATAGTCTTAGTATCACGATATGTCTTGATGTTCTAATTTTAACATGTTGTTAAATTCAAGTTTTGCATTCTTATTAAAATATATTGAAAGATATTATTTGCTCCTGATATCTAGTCTTTAATACTTGATAAAATTTCATGTGTTTTTGCCACAAAACATGCCATATTAGGGAAAATATTAATTTTTTTTCCAAAAGAGTCATCCATCTTGTCACTAAATGTAAACATTTTCCAATAATATTTGTAATTTACTTTTTGCCATGTATGTTTTACATACAATACACATATTATGTTGTTAGAAATTTAAGATCAATAACATCAGATTGCCATGCAACAATGCCTAGAAATCTTATTTTTTTCCTTTAGAAAATTTGCTTTTCCACTATTGACAAGAATTATTTCATCCCTTTTCATAACTTATTAAACTCATGCTTTTGCCACTTAAGTTTTTTAGTGATGCCCTTGACACATGCTTTATTGAGAGCATAGTAATTGTTAGATGAAAACTTCTAATAGCAAAACAAAAATGTACTGGCACTTGCACCCACTCATCTTGTATTTCTTTCCTTGGTTACAAGGGAGAAACTATCACTCTTCTTGTCAAAGGAAAATCCTTTCACATGTCTTCTGGATCTCATCCTTTCCTGCCGTCTCAAAAATTTTCTTCTCTCAGTTTCTTTCTTTCTCCCTCTTTCTCTCTTTATATCTCCTACATGTTTAGTCTCTTTCTCTCTGCAGGGTCATTGCCATTAATATACACATACGTTCTTTTACATCATTTCTCAATTTTTTTCTGGTGATGAGTCATTTGGGATACTTACTAAAAGTTCAAATCTAACCCAACCAACTGATTCAGAATCTGTAGGAAAGGGGAAGGGAATTTGGATGTTTGATGAGAACTCCAAGTGATGTCTCATCAAGTCATGAGGGGAAGTTAGGAGACAGTGCTTGTCCATAACACCTCTATTGGACCCGTGTCTCTGTCAACTACTTCCCAAGTTTGCTAACATGCTAACACTCTTCACAGCCGAGTGTCTCAAAATAATGACCTCATAGATAACTCAAACTTAGTAGGTCAAGATTTATCTCTTTATTTTCTCCCACTGGCTTGATCCATCCATTCTCTTCTCATCTTAATTAAAAACATCAGCACTTACTCATTTGCCCAGTCAAGAACTGGAGCAATTCTTGACACCTCTTTCATGCTCTCTACACTTTGATCCAGATCATCACTGGATCAACAGGCTCCATCTCTGTCCATTTCCACTGCAACCCTCATCTATGATTGTTTCCTCTTCTGACCTGGATCAGTACAGTAGCCTCCTAACTTTCACCCAGCTTCCATTCTTGCCCCAATCCAGGGATTTTTTCACATGGCCTTCAGAATTTTCCTATCAAAACATATGTAATTACTATCCTCTTTTTAAAAATGATTTTTGGATTCCCATTATACTTAAGGAAAAAAATCTAGACCCCTTTGGATGGTTTAAAAAGCCCTCACTCTCCAATGTCATTTCTTTTTT